CATTTTTCTTGTAACATTGTCATTTTTCTCTTTTTAAAATGCTAAGCACGTCCATAACCATCAACAGATGAGTCAATGCATGCATATATACTTATATATATAGTCATATACTATTTGTGTAAAATAGAATGTGTTTTGAGTCATAAATTTGCAAATTATTATTACGTCATTTTCAAATTCGCGTCAACTTTGGTTTTTATGGTATATACCGAAACCATACCGAAATAATTTGGTATATACCGAAACCGAACCGTATTTTAATTTCATACCGTATTTACCGAAGTATTAATACCATACATACCGAAAAACCATATAAACCGAACCATGTAAACCGAATAAACCAAACGCACAGGGCTACGCACACGGTGCTTGGATCAGTCTGCCACTGCCGACATAGGCACCATCTAGTCAACCCCATGGATCCAACGGATAACACATCACGGCATAGTGCAGGTTCCGAAAATATCTCAGCGATTGTGTTAAAAACATGAAGAAAAAAATGTTCAACGGAAGTTAGTACAGAAGTACAGATAAACCGCCCAACTGGCTGCTTGTGCTTGACCCGGTTCAAAACAATTGAGCCACAGTGAGTTCTCTTCATGTGAAAATTTTTAACCCGTACGGTGAACATTTCAGAAGCTAACCGGAGCAAAAGACAGGAGCTAATCTTGCCACAACCCTAGACACGACTAGTCCTCCTCCTCCACCTTCAGGCCCTGCAGCTTCGAGCCCAGGCCATCGCCATTATCGTCCCCGTCCCTCTCCTCCTCATCGTCATCCTCCTCTTCCTCGTCATCTTCAGGGTCCCCCTCGGGGTCGTTCTCATCCAGCGGGCCAAGCACCTCCAGCGAGTTCTTGCCTCCCTTCAGGATCTCCTTCACCTCGTCGACCCCTTCGTCGGAGATGAAATTCGAATTGATGTTCAGCAACACAAAACCTGGCTTGTTTGCGACAGCCTGAGCAAAGCACCGGGCTCCAGACCTCTGAAACAGATTCGTGCTCACGTCAAGCTCCTTCAGACCCGGGTGGCCTTCCTGCAGAGATTTTGCGATTGTCACCGCCCCATCATCCTTCAGCTCATTCTCAGCTAAGGTCAGCTTCTTGAGCGACTGCATTGCCGTTAAGCATTCTGCTACAGCTTTGGCTGCTTTGGCGGTTATTTCATTTCCTGCCATTTCAAGGACCTCTAACTGAGGCGCTGACTGTTTGAGGACATTCACAATTGCTATTGTACCCTCATTCTCAAGATTGAGGTCACTAAGATAGAGCTCAACGAGGCCACCAAGCTTCGGAAGGGTTTTGCTGAGAGCTACCCCTGCCTCCACACCAAATAAGTTGTCCCTGATATCAAGTTTCTTCAGACGAGTACATGTCCCTAATGCCTCAGCCAATGCCACTCCACCATCAGATCCTATCCTTGTCGCGGAGCACCTGAAGCTCTCTAGGTTTGGAGAACGCTTAACCATCTCAGCAATTGACATAGCACCTTCATCACCAGTCATATTGTTGTGGAAGTGGAGAACCTTAAGCTTCTCAGTTGATGGAATAAGCTCAGATAGAGCTTTTGCAGCTTCACCTGATATGCCATCATTCATCACATATAGTTCTTCCAGGTCGCCCTGTGATTTCAGCAGCTCTGTGAATGCCCTCACACCCTTCTCACCTAAAGCATTGTCGGAGATGTTCAGGTACCTCAGTACACACCCTGCTAAAGCTTTGGAGAATATGCGCATTACATCAAGGGCTTCGTCCTCGGGTCTTCCAGCGACAAAATCTGAGATATCTACCTCTGTGAGCTGCGATTTTATTGATTCAAGAATTGGGCCAGCAACATTGGCAGCACCAATACCAAAGCTCCTGTTGCTGAAACAAATCCTTTTATACGAGTTTCCTGGTTTTGTTAGTGGACTGAGAAGTTCCTTTGCTTCTTCTGCCTCAATGAAAGCGCGCTTGCCACCAGATATGTCAAACACAGTATCAGCAGGCTCAAGAGGTGTATCAACAACAGGTGCTTCTGGTTCGGTTGTCCTTGGGCCTTTTTTCAGGACTTCAAGCATCAGCTTGCTAGTTTCTTTTGCGTATAGCTGGACAGCAGAACTACCATCACCATCAGGCTCCTTCTTGAAATGCTCCTCTGCAGAAGCAAAGCACGCCCCTTCGATCCTCTTAGCATTCTCATGAGCCTCTTCTTTGCTCAAAATGCCATACTTGCGAGAGAAGATGCACTCGGCGGACAGGTTCTTGGTCATCCTCTCTATAAGCATCAGACGAGTGCTTTCACTCGGTGGCCACAGTTTGATGGAGAATGTCCGGGGCTGGAAATCTTGCGCTGTTGAATCCATGTGGAAAGGTGGCACTTCACACAGCAACCTACAGGTAAATCACCAAGAATAGGCATTAGCATGATCCCAAATTACAGAAAGTAATGTAATATTGAGTAAACAGCGAAATTAGTGGAGCAATTGGAGGGCCTATCCCTGAGGTACCAAACACTAGTACCAACAAGGATATATACAGCTAAATACCAGTTGGTAAAACATAGTTAAGTCTGCAGTGTAACAACAACATCATTTTTCTTCTTCTTAAAGGGGGCACCCATCTTCATTTAAGAAAATGGAGAAGGACAACAACAACTTCATTCATCCGTGATGAAAAGCATTTTGCTCAAAGTGGTTGGTTTACAGAGGAAATCAACAATATCAATTACAGAATAACAGGAGTTCAACCTAGCACCAGGGAGGGGGGGGGGGGTGACGTTACTATGTTTACCATTATTGTGTAGTACCTCTGTACATGAATGTAAGACGTTTTTGCAGTTCACAAAAATGTCTTACATTAGTGTACAGAGGGACTATTATTATATATACTGCTTGACTGGATAGAACTAGCAGACAACCAGCAGTCCAGGCATGGGGCATATTGCTTTTCAGAACACAATAAGCTACTACTATTGGACAGATCCTCCATATCTATTTGATATTTCGATCAAGCAAAGCTTAGAGTTACTGCAAATTGTAGTCTCCCAAAGGCCAAAGTTATGCATCCACTCCAGCTTCTTGTTTGTATATAAGTATGGATTGTGATTTACGAGTGCCAGTTCAATCAGCTAAAACATAATAACTCAGATCTCTCTCGTTGTATCTCCAGTCTTACCTGAGCAAAAAATAAAATGAAGTTGAACTAAGCCAAACACATACACAGCGTCTAACTACTCCAAACATGGATCGGTTGAAATAAGTTAGGACATAAACGTTACCTCCCAATCCCCTGCCCGTGCCAGCGGGGAGATAGAAACATACGGGACAACCAAATTTATACACATTCATTTGGTTTGATTTGAAAAAGCAGTAAGAAGGATTTGCAGACGAACCAACACGGAGATAAGATGCGCACTCTCCTTACCTTGGATCCAGACGGCGGCACCGTCTATACTTGAGGGACGACGGCCGCGGCGACGGAGT